TTAGCCTAAATTTAAGGTAATAAATATACTCAAAATAACAATACTTGTGAATTTATTTGTGTTTAACTATATAACTCAGATTCTCACTATTAGCACTCAAAAACAAAACTAACTTTCTGCTGAACTGCTCTTGGTCCAGGATTATCATTCTAATCTCAAATTTATTATAAAGTTGAAGTGGATTAATAATGAATTTAAATATACAAAAATTAACAATAAAAATAAAATTGATTCTATATGAAAATTACAATACTCCATCAATATGACTTTATTTCTGTGAATGTAGGTGTCTTCCTGGTGTTTTCAGAAATCTTTATATTAATAAAATATAATTAAATCATACCTCTGCAAGAACATTCTGGATCCATCCCTAGTACAAACTTTCTCCGTACCCACAGTAAAGATGAATCATGTCAAGTCAAGAAGACTAAAAGTCTTCATAACATGACTCGTCAAGGTCAAGGTCTGGCACTATTAATCATTATTTATTGACTAAGCTTAAAATATATTTTAAACAAAGATTGACTTGGGGATGTATAAGAACAATGTAAACATATAAATGTGATAAAAGATGTGTAAAAAAACAAAAAAACACTATTTTATTTATATACAAGTAGATCAGAGACAAAAGTTTGGATGGACTATGTCCACCCAATACATAAACAACAAGATACTTTTTACATTTTATTGTGTCAATAAAATTTCTTAACATGAAAAACATGAAAATTATTTTAGAACCAATTTCTGATATCATGAACAATTGCCACAGATTATAAATAGCAGCCTATAATCTGCACTATCTATGTCAAAAAGTTTTTAAAACAAACTACAGATTAGATAGAAAAATGTGGTAATATTTAACATTTTTGCAGCTGTTTTCCATAAATAGCATCATGCAGTGTTTCCTAATACACTGTCGTCTTATATTTGTATCATGATATAGCCTAATCTAAAAACAAAAATTCCTAAAAAATTTCTTAATTCACACAAATTTTGATGATGTTCAAAATTTACTAAACATACTGAAGCATTTTGGTGTAATCTCTGGTTGATTTCCTGTAGACTGAAATTATTATTGTTCCTTCCTTAGTTTGTAATGACTTTTCATATTTTTTTAAACATTCTCTGAAGTGTTTTTGATTGTATTTTTTCCTGATTATCTTTTTTTTCATTTGATTTAATTTGTTAAAAACTAAATCAAGTAAAATTAAAATCAAATTATCTACAAATGAACTTAACAACCTATAATTGAACAGGATTGAATATAAAACATATTTTACAACATACAGCCTTAAGTCAAAAAGAGATGATTCTATGGAAAGTAATAAGACTATAATATAAATGATTACTTTTAGGAATTTTGTTCTTGTATTGAGAAAAATGCATCTAAAATTTTTCTCTCATACAATAAAAGAGGATGGTTTTAGTAATGTAATAGCTAATTTTATTCTAAAAGTGAATAATATCAAAATGAATGTTCAGATACATTTTCTATAAAAAAAAATCAAAGGAAAAATGATTAAGAATCAATGAATGAGTGAAAACTAACAAAGCTATTATGAGTATATGTCTGCACAGTAAGCAGGAGTTGTGGTTTGAGTCCCACTCTGGGCCAATCTTTTCTTCCAGAATATTTAAAATTAAATTAATTATTTTATAATTATTATATTTAACAAGAGATGGTGGATGAGACACCGCCTGCCAAACTGCTTAGTAATTATTTAACCTTACAGCCTAATAAAGAATCTAGCTGTTCATTTGGTATTTGTTCTGAGCATAATTTGAAAGATAATAAGTAGTTGAATAAAAATACAACAGAAGCAAAGTTTGGAATGTTTTCAAAGATAAAAAAATGAATGTGAGATTACTTTTATCCATAAGTTAAGTATATTTCCATTACTTTTACCTTTGAAATACTCTGAAACCTTATTTTAACATTTATTTACTCAATTTTTTGTTACTGTTTAACTCTAAGCTCTGAAAATTTTTTTTTTATGTATCTGGACAGTAAATTGTTTTTACCCCTCAGGCTACAAGGGAAACTTGTACTGTATATCAAAGTTAGTCAAACAACAGATAAGCCAATTTTGACCAATTTGATGTTTAAAATGTTTAATTTATATTGTCTATTCAATGACTATCACATTTTCACTGTAAAAATAGTCACAATATTCATTTTGATATTACAATATAGAACAAAAACATTTAAGGAATAACTCTTATGTCATATGCCAGGAGGACAGTATTTGAATATATTTAGCAACCATGTAATGGTTTGTAAACAGTTCTGTCTTATTATATATATTATGTTTCTGTCTTATCATTATACGAGGGTAGGCTGAAAAGTAATGCAAACATGCTTGTAGAGCACAAACGAAATGATTTTCAGAAGTGTGCCAGGTGGCATATGGAAGTAACATTCCCCCCTCTATGTGCATGCGCAGTTTGAGGTTGTTGCGTTCATTCAGTATATTTTGAGAAGTGGAAATATGGAGACATGTTCTAGTGCTATGTCAACGCAAGTTAAACAGCGTGCTGTTATCGAATTTTTAACTGCTGAAAAAATTATGTTTAAAGGCTGTTTATGGTGACGATGCTGTTGACAGGTCTATTGTAAATTGATGGATAATAAAATTTCGTAATTGTGAGCCTGAAAAAGCCTTAATTATTGATGAAACACGCAGCAGAAGTCCGATCACTGCCACAGACAATTACCGTTGCACCTTGTTCCAATGTTTAATTCTTCTCAGTACATATAGACTCTAAAACACCTCTGACGTTGAGTTTGACATGTTAGAGGCAGCCTGGCATCAATAATCTTGCAACGTGACAACGCTCGTCCATACACCTCGCGCGCAACTGGAGAGGCTATGCAAAACCTGAAGTTTGAACCAATTTCACACCCTCCTTATTCCCCCAATCTTGTACCTTGTGATTTTTATTTGTTTCCTCTACTTAAGAGAGACCTCAAGGGTAATCATTACACCTCAGACGATGAGGTGAAAGCAGCCGTCAAATCCTGGCTTCGAGAAAAGTTGGAAGAATTTTTCAGTGACGGAATGGAAAAACTTGTTACACGTTGGGAGAAATTTGTTAGCCTTAATGGTGACTATGTTGAAAAATAAATATATGATTTTAAAGTTTAAGAATTGTACTTTAATGTACTTTTTGCCCGATCTTGCTATTTGTTTCTGTTCGTGTTCTACAAGCATGTGTGCATTACTTTTCAGCCTGCCCTCATATATCAGCATTCTACTTGTTTTGGAGTGTATTTTATTCCAGCCTTTTGTTATTTATAAGCATTTGTTGTATTCTTTTGTATTCATTTTTTTTTTATTTTATAACTTATCACTGCATTCCTGTGCATGCAATGATTGTATAAAATTAACATTATTTAAATTTCTGTTTTTGTTTGATTTGCATTCTACCAGTAGAACCTAAGAATGGCCTTCGTAAAGGTTGAAAACATTTGTTCATTAAATGTTTTTCATTTCATGTTTTTCATTTGGTTTCTGCTTCATTTTGATATTATTTGTAAAGATATTTTGTGTCTAGAACCATATGCTGTGGCTAGCTCTAAATTTTTCAGTTTTTTAATAATGCAGTATTCCTATTATATATAAACATCTCAAGAACCTGATGTATTAATAATCAACCAACCATCAGCCAAATTAATTGGGAGAAAATATGCTACAAATATTAATTAGAAATAATATGATTAGAACAACTAGATGTAGACGTTAGGTGCCATCTCTTAACAAAAGTAGTAATTATAATTTAATTTTAAATTTAGAATAATTTGAAAGAAAAAGAATTGGCCCAGAGCAGGAGTCGAACCATGCAACCTCCGCTTACCATGCAGTGAACTGATCAGTTACACCACCCAGACTTCCGAGTGATTCCTCCCTTCCAGACACATTTTAAACTTTAGATAACTCATCCAACAATTAACCACTAGTTGTTCTAATCATGTTATTTCTAAATAATATTTGTAGCATATTTTCTGTCCAATTAATTTGGTTGATGGTTGGATGAGTATTCCTATTATATTCAATACTTTTTGTTAAAGTAGTTAAGGAATTACTTTTTACATGACAAAAAATCTGATGACTACACCATTCAAGATTAAAAAAAACATTGATTTAATGGCTAATCTTGATTTTTCTTAAAACTCTGCTCTGTTGGCACTAACAGAGTTTTTTTATGCTCATCATTGCTTTAGCCAAGCCCACAATGGAATGATTGGACAATAGGGATGGGGCCCAGATAACTAGGTCAAATCATCAAAAACTTTCATGGGCTGTTTAGCCCATGAAAGTTTGAGGATCTGACCCAGAATCAACCTTAGATCTCTGTCTGATAGTTCTACCATCTCAGCCACCCGACCATCACACTCAATCATGATTTGTATTATCTTCAACTGAATAATATACAAACATTCCAAAGTCTGAATTGTAATTTCATTTGAAAAAAAGGACATTCATAACATAACTAAATTTTTAAATAATCATGTTCTTGTGTATAAGTTATTGAATAAACTTGATTTCAAATTTTTAAAATTTATTAATATGAAAGTTTAGAAACTTTTAATTCAAGTAATGATAACTGAATATTTTTGTCAGAAATAAATTAGGATCATTCTAAGATATTTAAATCTAACAATTATAAATCTTATGATGCATGACTTTTTTACATAAAGCTTATTAATATAAATATTAATTATAAATTATTTTTAATTATTTTAAATATACAATTTTAAAATAATATTTCCAAATATAAATTTAATTTAAAAATCAAAATAGAAACTACATTGACTGTATTTAATTATTTTATACATAGATTATATATAGATAAAAGTATGTGAATAAGTTGTAAAATTTTTATATACAATTTTATAAATATGAATAAATTTATATACAATGTAATTTATTTACAAAAGTGAAACATATTAAAAAATTTAATACATTAAAAAGTCATCTAACAAATAATTAAAAACCATGTATATTATTATTTAATGTGCAAAAAATGGTGTGTGATATTTAACTATCTAAATTGATAAGGTTACAATATAATGTAAATAACATTTTATACATGTAAAATTTATGTATATTTGCTTGATTTTTACTGTGAAATGAAGAAACTTTTAATTCAGTGACGAGCAACCCTGTGAGCCTTAGTGCCCATTCAAACTTCTTTGTGCAACCTGTGATTATAAATTTATGATTAATAATAACCTCAAGAACAAATTACAACATAATACATTTCTCAAATTCTTTAAGTTCTAGCTTCCAGTTTCAAGTACTCAAAAACAATACACACACAACAGATGACCAAGACTTTTTAATTATTATATATATTTGTAAACATTTTTTTCAAATTTGAACATTGTGAGAAATGTAAAATTAAAGTTACCACTATGCTGCAGAGCATTCCAAATAATCCCCAACATTAATTCTATAATGACTACAAATCAATGTCATTTTTTCATTATCTACTATATAAAAAATAATAATTTAAGTTATAGAAATACATGTTTTTGCCACTGCTAAGATGTTGGTCCACAAGTAATATTTTTTCCAAAACTCACCATCATACAAAAAAAAAAGGTTGCTCACCACTGCTTTAATTTATAATACAGCATTTTAATGAAAAATATATCAAGAAAGTTTCCTTAACCCATAAAATAAACTGAATCATTTATAATTAATATATTATATTTATCAGTTTAACACTAAATAATTATCATTTAATACTAAATTATTCATTTAAAATATTTAATAATAATTTTACATTATATTCCAGTGACTTTAATGCTCTAATTTAAACGGAAGTTTATTAAAATACATTTTATTTTATATGATAAATAAAATAAGAATTTATTTAATAGATGAAAATTATTAAGTATTCAAACTTACTATTTCAAAATAACATTTTCAATCTCAATATGTAATCAGTTCAAACACCATTATTTTCTAGGAATTATCACAGCCACCTAGAAAATAATGGTGTTTGAATCGATTACATATTGAGAGTTTTAAAAAACAGAATAGTAGCAAAAAGGATGAATCATAACATTTTCAATTTTTTTCTAGATAAATAATCTATATTTCCATAACAGATTATCAAAATACAGCAAAAAGCAAAATTATATTTTGTGCATAATAAAATTCAATGATATAAACATTTCATGACTTAAGTTTTCTAATCATTTTTAGGCCATCATTTCCTTAAACATAATGATAAAATTTGAAAAATTCATAAATCTATATTATGTTACATTACTTTTAAAAATTTTCAACTGTTTTATTAAAATATACTTATGCACAAAATAATACTAAAAGCTAATAAGTGACTGAATTACAAAAAAAAATTTAGTTCAGATCCCATGAGGATCATCCATAAATTATGTAATGCTATTTTTATACTTTTCAACTAACATTCTGTAAAACCTTCAAGCATACCCACTCCAAAATTACATAAGACATATCTTCAAACAGTCACCTTAATTGCACTAAGGAATAAAGGTACTGAACATTACATTATTTTATTAATTACATGCTTGCAACAGTTCAGAAACAAAACTGAATCATTCTGTTACCCTTTGGGTAACAGAATGATTCCCTAAAACCCTAGCATTATGTAATGTTTTTGTAAACATCCCTACCCCTTGTAACATATGGTAACAATTGCCTGCATAACCATCCACCCATATCTGCATTGCATAATTTATAAGCAGTCCCATGCATCAGCATAAAATAAAAGATAAAAGTACAACTTTAAAAGATAATTTTTACAAAAATCAGTTATCTTTCCTGTTGTTCTGTAAATTTGTAAATAAAAGACTGAGTTTAAAACAGAAGTAAATGTAAAAAATAATGTTTTTTTTATTTATTTAGATTAAGTACTTTATTTAACAGTAAAAATATTGATACATTTACCATAAGTCTGTTATATTTAAGTATTTGCATATTTTTTTACAGGCAACATGTGCAGTAATAAAAATCTTAATAAGCTAATGATTTTTTAAAAATTTTATGTACTTTCAGGAAATTTTCTTTGAATAAAATAAATTTTCAGTTATTTATGCTAAGAATTACTTTGGAAAATATTCAGATGTTTGGTATCCTTGTTTTTTTTTTTTTTTAAGTTTTGAAACATTCAACATAAAATCAGTAAATTATCTCTAGTACACACTATAGATTTAAAATCAACGATTTTTTTTATGAATTAAGTATACATGAAATGTTTGTTCAGATGATATATTTTTTGTAAATATTTCTCTACTTAACATAATAAAGTTTTGTCATAAAAAGTTATAACTACATTTATTCAAACTGACTTCAAGCATATTGATTTTATGACATGGTATATAGAATTTCTGATGAGTTATATGCTCTCATCTGAGAGAGAGAAAAATTTTTTTTTATTTAAGAATCTGTCTAGTGAGATAGATAATTAGTTAAGAAACATTTGAAAATATGAAGTTAGATTTTTATTAACCATTATATANGTCCATTTTATGTATGTATATTTTCTTATGTCATTATATTTATTTATTTATTTATTTATCACAAAATACAGTAAAGCCATATACATGGCATAAAGCTAAAGATAACCAACTCTGATTAATAACATCAGAAAATTCACCAAATCAAAATTAAATTCTTTATATAGCATTTCAATATATTGAAATGCTGTATTAAAATTTTTGAAAATATACTTATTTCAAGTAATTCAATATTCACAATCAATCAGTCCTGCATACTGCAGATTCATATTTGATACCATAATCTTAGGTTGAACTATTCATGCAATTCAATGGAATAAAACCATAATAAATAGAACAACAGAATGAAAGCACAGTGTATTATTTTTGTAATATTTAAGAACAAAGTTTTTGATATTTTAGTAGTGATGATTATTATATTTAACCAAAAACATTTAATCCAGTAAATCTCCATTTTTGTGATGTATCAGTTTTTCTGTTATATCAATAACAAACTTATTAATTATTATTATTATTATTGAATGTTATTGTTATTAATTTAATGTTCACTTACATCAATACAATTTGAATGGTGCCTTTCCAATGTCCATTCATCGGATATGTTTGCCCATAGGATGCGAGTCATTAATACATATTTTTAAAAATATCCTCCTATTACTGTAAAAATCCAAACAATCTGACAGGATTATAATAATTTTTCATGAGTAATTCAAATTAGGCAGAATTTTCCATCCCTCACCCATACTAACTAATTTCATTACAGATTAGACAAGCTCTATATAGGCAAAACTGAGGTTAGATATATAACTCACTTTTCCTGATAATGTACAAAAGAATACAATCTAATCCTATCCACAGATGTTTTCATCATAGTATATCAAAATTGTTTCAAGTGATAATTTGACTAAGAACAAAAATCTTAATGGATATATTATCATTTCAGAAATAAACATATAATTTTAAAAGGACTGTAGAAGTATCTGTTTATTCTGCAATTAACAAGCAACAATAAGTGTTGGGAATGAAACTTCAAACAGTATTAATATTAAAAGGGGAGTAAGGCAGGGTTGCAATCTCTGAAGATCATTAAGAGATTCTGCCAGCAGGACTGTGTCATCTGCATATCTAATGTTATTGATGATTGTTCTGTTTACTTTTATGCCAGCTGTTTCATCTTCTATGGTTCTTTTTATTATTTCTTCAGAGTAGGCATTGAAAAGTATCACTTGCAGCAATTTGTAGAGGTACAATCTGCAGCACGTGATAATTTAAGGAAAAGAAAAAGATAGAAGAAGTATGGGAAGGAGAAGAATATCATGGCTGAGCAACTTGAGACAATGGTATGAATGTACTTCCAGCCAACTTATCAGAGCAGCAGTGTCAAAAGAGAAGACAACTATGATAATTGCCAACCTTCGGAACAGAGATGGCACTTGAAGAAGAAGTATCTATCAAATTTTGCTTGTTTCATCTATTAAATTTGATTTCTTTGAAAATCTTTTTCAAAAAATAAATAAATAAAATGATAATAAAGAAAATCAATAATTATTTTCATATATTCTAACATTAAAAAAAAACTATGAATTTTGAAAATATACAAAAATTTTTACTTTTCTCTGATTTTCATTTGATGAAAATCAGAGAAAAGTAAAAATTTTTGATTGCCTAAATCCTAAATAACCAAAGATGATTGCTGGCAATCTTCAATGTAATCCTTATAACATTAACATAAATCCTCTAACAGATCACTAACTCATGGATTCCTTAGAAGACATTTTCTTATCATAATGCTAGCCAAAAAATGAATGGTGCTAAAATCACATGAATACACTCATTTGTCAACTTTTAATGGATTAAATCAGAAAAAATTCACACAATTGCAGTATGAAATGTTTAATGCAAACTAAACAGTAGTATAACTGTAAAAAAACCATTACACCAATGAACTCTTAAACACACACTTCTTTTTAAATTTTTAAAATAATAATCATTACAGTTATGTGGTGGTGCTCAAGGCACAAACAATCTCAAACTTTATAAGTAATGTAAACAGTATGGCTGGTAGTATGAATTCTCACATTGCCATAGTGCAGGTAGACACTAATGAATGGAAAACCAAGAGGTTTCATTTGAATTGTTGGCTTCAGATAATGCATTAATATATCACTATCTCTCTCTGTTTACATTTGATCCAGTTAATATTTAAGAAGTATCCACTAACAATTCCAGCATAGAGTGATCAACACTTTTTCTGCAATATCATTGTCCTTATTTGAGATATTACCCCCTCTTCCATATTTGCCTGATTTAGTGACAAGTGATTGCCATATTTTTTGAACTCTTAAACAAATAATATAATTTTTTTTAAAGGATGATCATTTTAAATCAACACAGATGATACATGAATGAAACACATAAAAATGAGAAAATATTCTCTCCTGTGTAATCCAGTAACTAGTGACCTGTTGGAGGATTTGTTTTTGAAAGTCAGAGGGGTTACATTGAAGATCAACAATAGTCATTTTTGGCTATGCAAAATTTTAATTACTTTTTTTGAGAACCACCTTTTAGTATATTATGTACTGGGATATTCAAATATATTGAAGTGCATTTATTTCCTTTTGATAGAAGAAAATTGTACAGAATGATAAAAATCTGCATTTATTTCCTTTTGATAGAAGAAAATTGTACAGAAT